GAGGCTGAAGCATGAGGATCACTCTGAGTTTGTGGCCAGCCTAAGCTACATAGAGAGACTCTAAAAAAAAAATATTGTCCAGTTATTTTATAGTCATTAGTTTTTGGGGGGTATTAGGGATCTATCTTGGGCCCTTGCGAGGCTGGCGGCGTATAGTCATTAATCTTTAGATGATATTGTATTCTATAAACGTGCTGTAGTTCTCAGTCTCTTCTGGAGAGGGCAGTTTGGGTCATTTTCAGCCTTTTGTTACCCTGTAACTGCCCCCCATGGTACGTGGCAGTGTCCTTTGTGGAATTCTAGGTGTGTGGGAGTGTGGGTGTGAACGTTCAACTTTGGAGTATGATGGCCAGTTTTATTCAAAACAGTTATAAAAGAATGGTGTCGACTATAGTTTTCATTGTGTTATGTTTTTCAGTGGCTCCTGAAACCAGTTAGGCTGTCACGGTTCCTTCCCTCTCTTCATATTTTGGAGAACTATTTTGCCAGACACTGTTAGGTTCTGGGAATACAACAATGAATATGACAGATAAATTTGCTGTTTTTAAAGTTCAGAGTCTTTTTTTGTTCTTGTATGTGCCTCTTTTGGAGACGGTCTCAGTATGTAGTTGAGGCTGTCCATGTGCTCAGCGTGTTGTAGCTCAGGCTGGCCTCAAACTTGTATCAATCCTCCCGAGTGCTGGGATCACAGGCGTGCGTCGCCATACCTGCCTGAGAACCCTCTTACTGTAGCACCTAGTAGTACCTTTGTACTTCCTTGCTTCAGCACCACTTCCCTTCCTTTCTTTCTACTCTGCAGCTCACTCCAACAATGAAACATACTTAATTCTAAAATTAAAACTTTCTTGGTGCTGAGGCCTTGCAATGCTGCTGTTTTCATGACCCCACCTCCTCTGCTGTCAGATCAGATGTTGCCTATTTTAGGAGGACTTCCTTGATCTTCCTAGTCTGACTTGATTTTTCTTGTTTCTGCTGCTATAAAACTGTGTTTATACTTGTGAATGTTATCACATCATCGCTGCCGATTTTCTTCTCTAACAGAACTAAGTATTCATTAGGAGCAGGGACTTTGTTTTCGACCCCTGAATTTCTAGTGTTCGCTGTAGTACCTGGAGCATATTAGGTGTTTGGTAGATGTTGAAGGAATGCATGGAAAGGAAAGGGAGAATCAGAGAGACATTTTGAAGGAATGATGAAATGATTTATAATAGACTTGATAGTAAATGAAGGAGACTGAAAAATCAGGTGTTCACAAAGTTCCTCTCTGAGTCCTGGAAAGTGTTTGATGTGTAGTGTCGTAGAGGCGGGGGGTATCTTGTTGCTTTTTAATCAGTTACAGAAATATATAT